GGTCTCGCCAAGTTGCCCAGGGGGGTCTCGAACCCGCGGACTCAGGCAATCCACTCACCTTGGTCTCCCAAAACGCTGGGATGACAGGCTGAGCCACTGAGCCTGGCTATGTTTGGCTAATTTCTCCCCATCTTGCAGGTTCTAGTTTAATTGTCACTTTTTCAAGGATATCTTCCCCACACACTAGACCCGGCTTCTATCTGGGTCAGTCCCATCGTCCTCTGACTTGTTTCTAGCAGGCATAAAGTAGAAATTTATTATTTGTGCGACTCGGTTCACATAAGTCTGCCCTGCTGGTTGGTGAGGCCTGTAAGGGCAGGATGTGTCCTCGGTGTCTCCCTCGAGTGCCTCGCCACAGCAGATGTTTGTTGAATGTTTGTTGCGGAGACCTGTCTCTGGTGTCTGTCCCATTCTGGGGCTTGCAGAGTGAAGGGGGGTTTTCTTGGGCATTAGATGCTCAGCGTGGCAGGAGGAGGCACAGGCTGTTCTGGAAGAGCAGACTGGAGTGCCGTGGCACACTCCCGGCCACCACAGCCTCGACCTTCTGGGCTCTGGTGATCCTTCCGCCTCAGCTTTCCAAGTAGATGGAATTACAGGCACGCGCTACCATGCCCGGCTGATTTTTTGATTTATTGTAGAGATGAGGTCTCGCTGCTCAGGCGGGTCTTGAACCCACGGGCTCAGGCAATCCACTCACCTCAGCCTCCCAAAGGTGGGGGGTTACAGGCTGAGCCACCGAGCCCGGCTGAGACTTCGCATTTTCAAACAGAAAGTCTTGTATGCCGGGAACTCCCTGGGTCCCGGGTAAGCCAGGTCAGTCACCCACTTATCCTGCCTCTGTTTGTCTGGTGGGCTTCTCCATAGCACCCTCTCCACTGCACTGTAGGGTCCTCAGACCACACCTTCTGCCCACCCCCCCTAGTGCAGGCCTCTTCCCAGTGTTCTCCGTCTCCCGAGGCCTGTGGGTCTCTCCCCTCCCTCTTCTCTCAGTGTCCAAGACTCAGGCCCGATGCATCTTCTCTGGTCAAGACCCTGGAGGGGCCAGGTGTTGTAGCTCATGCCTGTCATCCCAGCACTTTGGGAGATTGAAGTAGGAGGATCGCTTCAGCTCAGGAGTTAGAACTCAGCCTGGGAAACATAGCAAGACCTCATATCTACAAAAAATTAAAAAATTAGTTGGGTGTGGTGGTGCACACCTGCAGTCCCAGCTACTCAGGAGCTGGGCCCAGAAGGTCAAGGTTACGGTGAGCCATGATCATACCACTGCACTCCAGCCTGGGCAACAGAGTGAAACCCCAACTCCCAAAAAAAAAAAAAAAGACCCTGGAAGGATTATGGGATTATGAGCTCATGGGTGTGCCGTGTGTGACGTAGTTGTGTGACTGTATGTGTGTATGTCTTGTGACTGCGTGTGTGTGTGTGACTGTGTGTCTCTGTGTGACCAGATGTGTCCTCGTGTGCATGCGTGCGTGTGAGTGACGGCAGCATCTGTGTGTGTCCAGGGGGGTGGTGGCATCCCTTGGGCAGGGGTCAGGGGTAGGGCTTACCTGTCTACGGCTACCTGCCAGTAGAGGAGTTTGGACACGGGCACCCAGTTCAGGTTCCCGGTGTAGTAGGCGGGGTCCACACCACCCAGCGTCAGCACGCCGCCTTGTTCTTCCTTGCTGGAGGGGGAGGAAGAGGAAGGGATCACCTTCAGCGGATGACGACAGTGGAAGCAATCAGACAGGAAGGTCGATGATGGGCGCATTCTCTCAGCTCAGCGACACCCCAGGCATTATCTAGGGGTTCTCTGTGTTGCTCCTTAATGCGTACACAGGCAGGCAGCCCCACGGGGAAGGCACAACTATGATCCCTGAAAGGAGGGAACCTTAGAAATTTAGGATATCACGTAGCCAACTTGAACCACCATAGCTATTTTGCTTGGGTCTCGCCCCCTGAAGTCCCCTTGGTGCACAGCCCCCAGGGCCTTCTACCCTATAATCATTAACAAGAAAAATAGTTTTGGAAACCGCTGATGACACAAAACCCCTTAAGCATGTCTAGTCTTGCTAACAGTTTATCTTTTAGGCATTCGTGTTGATACATTGTTGCACATGACAGTCTCCAGCCCATCACCTGAGGTCATGAGACATTGATGCCTGAGGATGTCAAGGTCCTACATTCACGTGACTACTATGGAAACCGAAGAACACAGCCCTGGACATGCCTTTTGGCCGAGACCTCCTCCAGGTCTAAGCCTCCCTCGCTTTACAGGCCCTTGAACACACCTAGCTTCCAGCCAGCCATGCCACACTCGCCTGAGTGCCGGCCCCCTTTCCATCCGTGAAAGGTGAATTATGACCTTTACTTCCTTCTACTTTCCCCTCTGTTGCCATCTTGCATCATTCCCGTGGCACCGGCCCACCTTGCCTCAGTTTACCCCTTCCATCCCCATTTTATAGACAGGGAAGTTGAGGCAAGGAGAGGGTGGAACTCCTGTCCAAGGCTGGTCACATGGCTAGCGGGTGGCAAAGCTGAGGTCTGAACCCAGGCAGTCTGGCCTCCAAGCCAGTTTGGACCCTCTCACTCTTCTGAAGTGGCCAGGTCCGCTCCAGCCACCAGAGCCCATGGGTGTGGTCAGGGGATGCTGTATCCAGAGGGCTTTGACCCGTACCTTGTCCAGGCTCTCATTTTCTGGAAAAACTGAGGCCTGGGAGGGATAACGGCTGTGTGTTTAGGCTCACACAGCACTGGTTTCCTGGGCCTGTGACCACGTGCTGTCCACAGGGCCCAGTGCTTACCAGGGCTTCACAACTCTGCTGCTGCCGCCTCTTGAAATTCTTTTTTTTTTTTTTTTTTGAGTTGGAGTCTCACCCTATCACCCAGACTGGAGTGCAGTGGCTTGCTCACGGCCGCCGCAGCCTCGACCTACTGGGCTCAGGGGATCCTTCTGCCTCAGCCTTCCGAGTAGCTGGAACTAAAGACTCATGCTGCCACACCTGGCGAGTTTTTTTGATTTATGGTAGAGAATGGGTCTCGACAAGTTGCCCAGGCTGGGCTCGAACCCCTGGGCTCAGGCAATTCTCTCACCTCCGCCTCCCAAAGTGCTAGGATTACGGGCATGAGCCACCGTGCCTGACTTGAAATTCTTCACTTTTATTTTTTAATTTTTAATTTTTTGTAGAGAAGCGGTCTTGCTGTGTTGCTTAGGCTGGTCTTCAAATCCTGGGCTCAAGCAATCCTCCCTCCTCGGCCTCCCAAAGTGCTGGGATTACAGGCATGAGCCACCGCACCAGGCTCTTAACACATTTTGAACAACAGCCCCCACATTTCCATTTTGCTCTGGGCTCTGCAAATTGCCTACCCTGGGCTCACGGTAAAATCTTGGTGAGGGAGAAACATCCCTGCAGACCTCTCTCCAGCCACATTGAATCCATCAGCGAATTCTGTTGCCTCTTCCTCCAGCATACAGACTGATCCCCTCCTCACTGTTCTTCTTCTTCCCTGAACAAGGCTGTCACCCCACCCTTTCTCTTCTAAAGTGGCTGCAGCAGCCTCTTCCCTGGCCTCCATGCCTTCGCTCCAGCGAGCTCCCAGGGTGAGCGTTCAAAGTTGAGAGTGTAAATCGCATCATGTGTCTTCCCTGGTTAGCTCCCTGCCAGAGGTCTCCACCCCCACTTAGAACAAAGTCCCCCCCCCCCGGGGATCCTTGCCCTCCCCCAAGCCAGTGTGTGGGGCGGGGTGCGAGTGGGGACTCTAGCTGGCTCACGGATTGCCAGGGACTCCGGACCTTTGTACTTGTCCTTCCTGGCATGGGGCACTTAGCTGCCCATGCCTGGCTTCCCGTCACGGAGGCCTCAGCTCAGCGCCACCTTCCCGGTTGCCCATCTCAGACCACACCTGCATGCCTGGCCCTTCTATCACCCTGATTTTTTTATTTTATTTTTTTTTGCTTCAGTGTCTCACTCTGTTGCCCAGACTGGAGTGCAGTGGCATGATCATGGCTCACCACAGCCTTGACCTCTTGGACTCAGGCCATCCTCCCATCTCAGCCTCCCGAGTAGCTGAGACTATAGGCATGTGCCACCACGCCCGGTTTATATTTTGATTTATTGTAGAGATGAGGTCTTGCTATGCTGCCCAGGCTGGTCTTGAACTCCTGGGCTCAGGCAATCCTCCTGCCTTGGCCTCCAAAAGTGTTGGCTGCACCTGGCCTATCATCCTGATTTACTGCTTTCCCAGAACCAACTACTATCTGAAGCTAGCTTGTTCCCTTATTTATTTACTGATTTCTTGCTGCTTTCTCTACCTCTCGTCTGTGTACAGAGCAGTGCTCAGTACATAGTAGGTGCTCAATAAATACTTGTTGAATGACTCACTCCTTTGACTGGGTATGAGTGTTCCTGGGGCTTAAAGAAGTTCAGTAAGTCAAGTTCATGCTATGGAATCAGGGTTTGAACTCAGCCCTCAACACCGCACTCTCCCACTTCCTACAGACTCTCTGGGGGGCAACCTCCACCTTTGTGGGGAAGACACAGTCTGTCAACAGGGTCTTCCTCCTCTGGGTGCTTCTCCCCTCTCCTCTGCCCTCCATTGGACCCTTAACCAGACAGGGGACTTCGGCTTTCCTTTGCCAAGCCCAGTGACGGGAGACTTGCTGACGGACTGAGCTACTGCCATGGGAGAGAGTCCCGAGGGCTGAGTTCGAGTGCTGCTGCCACTACTAGCACCTGACGGCACAGTCTTGGGCAAAGCCCCCCCTCTGCGCCTGCTGCTTCACCTTCCACATGAAGGGACTGACTGGACCACAGCCAACTTTCTGCACACGGCCAGACTGTCCATATTCTAGGCTGTGTGTCCTGCGCCGTTTCTGTGGCCTTGCTCCGCGCTGTCACTGTGGCTCAAAATAGCCTAGACAGCTCAAGCCTATAATCCCAGCGCTTTGGGAGGCTGAGGCGAGAGGATTGAGTGAGCCCGGGGGTTCGAGACCCACCCGGCAACTTGGTGAGGCTGCATCTCTGCAGTAAACCAAAAAATGAGCCTGGCGTGGTGGCGCAGGCCTGGAGTTCCGGCTACTTGGAAGGCTGAGGCGGAAGGGTCACCCGAGCCCAGCAGGTCGAGGCCACTCACTGCACTCCAGCCTGGGCGACAGAGGGAGACTCCAACTCAAAAAACAACAACAACAAAAAAACAGACTCAGATGATATGCAAACAGATATGAACAGGATTGTGTTTCAAAAAATCTTTATTTACAAAAGTACAGCTGGGTGTGGTGGCTCACGCCTGTAATCTCAGGACTTTAGGAGGCCAAGGTGGGAGAATCACTTGAGCCCAGGAGTTTGAGACCAGTCTGGGCAACATAGTGAGACCTTGTCTGTACAAAAATAAAAAAATTAGTTGGGTATGGTGACATGCGCCTGTAGTCCCAGCTACCTGGGAGGCTGAGGTGGGAGGATTGCTTGAGCCCAGGAGTCTGAAGCTGCAGTGAGCAGTGATTGTACCACTGCACTCCAGAGTGGGCGACAGAGTGAGACCCTGACTCAAACAACCAACCAACCAATAACCAACCAACCAACCAAACAGACAAACAGGTGGTAGGTGAGATTTGGCCTCCCGGCTATAATTTTCTGACCCCCTGGACTGAGCTATCTCTAAGGAAACTTCTGGGTCAGACAGTCGACACGTTTTCATGCAACCGAAAGCGTCTTGCGGCCGAGCTGGGGGAGGGGCTTGTCTGGCCCGCACTTACTTGCTCAAATCGGAGGCAAAGAGGTTCTGAGAAATGAGACCCTGTTTCCACAGGTTGTCGAAGACAGGGGTGGGGCCTTGAATGCCGAGGTCGGGATAGCTCAGCCCCAGGATGCCGTCAAAGACCGCAAATTTTATGAAACTGCCAGGCTCCTTGACGCTCAGGCCGAATGTCTGGCCCACGTCCACAAGACCCCCAATCTGCAGGAGAGAAGGGCATTTCTGTGTGAGGGTCCCGGAAGTGGGGCTGGGGCCTGGCAGTCCCACAGAGATGTCACAGCCCCACAGAGGAAAGCTGAGGCAGCCGTGCCCTGGGCTGCACCCCTGATGGTCCCCACAGGCCAGAAGAAGAGCCAGGTTCTGTGTCGGTGGCCCTGTGGATTTCAACCCACACCCGCCCCTCCTGAACTTAGTTAAATAGGCCTCATCTTTTTACAGGTGGGGAAACTGAGGCTCCGAGTGTGACCACACGGTTCCCACTTGAGAAATGTGTAGAGAAGCTTGTCTTCTTTTTTGGCATCACCATGGTCTGATGACAGAGATGTAGGGAATTTGTTGCAGACTCAATAGGTGGTCTTTTCTGCATGTCCCTGAGGGATGGTAGCCCATGACACCAGGTAGCTACTAGGGTTCTTAAAAGAACTCTAGCCAGGCTCAATAGCTCAGCCTGTCATCCTAGCACTTTGGGAGGCCAAGGTGAGTGGATTGCCTGAGCCTGCAGGTTCGAGACCAACCTGGGCAACTTGGGGAGACCTCATCTCTGCAATAAATAAAAAAAATTAGCTAAGCATGGTAGCGTGCACCTGTAGTAAGGCTGAGGCAGAAGGATTGCCAGAGCCCAGCAAGTCGACACTGGGATGGCTGTGGGTGTGCCATGGCGCTCCAGCCTCGGTGAGAGTGAGATCCCAACTCAAAAAAAAAAAAGAAAAGAAAAGAAATGGAGATGATACTAGTGCCTGCCATGCCAGGTGGTCATGGGGTGAACTAAGTTATGTATGACAGTTGAAGGCCTCCCAAAGTGCTGGGATTGCAGACGTGAGCTACCATGCCCTGCCATACAGTGCCTGACACAGCGTGACAGCGTGAAGATGGGTGACTTTTTTATTGTTTGAGTTGGGGTCTCACTCTGGTGCCCAGGCTGGAGTGCAGTGGTACCATCATAGCTCACTGCAGCCTCGACCTCCTGGGCTCAGATGATTCTCCGACCTCAGCCTCCAAGGTAGCTGGGACCACAAGCATGCACCACCACACCTGGCTAAATTTTTGATTTTTCTGTAAAGACGAGTTCTCACTCTATTGTCCAGGCTGGTCTCCAATTCCTGGGCTCAAGAAATCCTCCTGCCTCGGCCTCAAAGTGCTGGGATTACAGGCATGAGCCACTGCGCCTGGCTAGGTGGATGACTTTTACCCACCTCTATTCCTTGTGCAGATCTGGGCCTCCCCACCCACCCACTCCAGCCGGTCGACCCTGCTCTCCGGGTTAGCCCTCCTGGTGGAGTTGGCATGCCAGCAAGGGCACTCTCTCCCCAGGGACATAGCCTCACAGGGCAGGCGGCCAGCCACGGGGTGACTTTGGGAAAGATGGGGTCTCCCAGCCGACCTCACGCTTGGTCCTGCACACGGCAGTCACTCCCAGGGCTTGCCCTGCCTCAGGCCCTGGTTTCCGTGTTACCTGGACGGTGTCATAGGCAAGAAATCCTGATATCTGCCCGGAGCCGTAGAGGAGGTCGGTGGGCTGGCCCGAGGCCCGGAACGTGGAGGACAGCAGAGGATTGAAGGTGTTGTGATTAGCTGCAGACACAAGGATGGGCGTCGTCAGGCCTTCTGAAGGCCGAGGGGGTCGGTGGGAGGCCGTGGGGCAGGGACGGGGGCGCTCGCCGCAGACCTGGCTGGTGTGGTCGATGGAAGGCACCCACAGGTCGGTGGAGCCCGTGTCCAGAAGGACCTTGAACTCCTGCGGGGGCGTTTCGATGCTGATGATGCCGATGTACGCCAGCTGCCAGGGCCGGGGACAGGAGGTTAGGACAGGCCCGGCCACCCTGGCCACCCCACAGTTGTCAGAGTGCTGCCTCCTCTGATGTCCCCATGAGCCTTGAAATCACTCTCCAAGGCCCCACCTCTCAGTCTCCGCTGGGATCACAGGCACGCCACCACTAATGCCTTCCTTTAGAAACTCTCCAGTCTTCCCTGCTGCTCTCCAAATCCTTGCTTGAGGACCCAGCCTGAGTGCCTCCCCCCCCAGGCAGCCTTCCTAGGTCACCAAAGCCACTGTGTTCTTTTCTTTCTCTAAACTCAAAGCAAAAAATATCAGTACATATTGTTGATCCTTTAATTCAACATATATTTACTCTGCTCATTTCTCTGATTGGGCTACAAGTTATTTTCTTCTGAGTTGGGGGTCTCATTCTGTCCCCCAGGCTAAAGTGCAATGGTACTATCATGGCTTACTGCAGCCTCGACCTCTTAGGCTCAGGTGATCCTCCTGTTTCAGCTTCTGGAGTAGCTGGGACAATAAGTACATGCCACCACTCCCGGCTAATTTTTTTTTTTTTTTTTTTGAGTTAGAGTCTCACTCTAACTTGCCCAGGCTGGAGTACAGTGGCACACTCATGACCATCCCAGGGTTGACCTGCTGGGTCAGGTGATCCTTCCCCTCAGGCCTAGCTAGAACTACGGGCGCATGCTACCATGCCAGGCTAATTTTTAAAAAATTATTGTAGAGATGTGGTCTTGCCAAGTTGCCCAGGCTGTTCTTGAACCCGCGGGCTCAGGCAATCGCCTCACCTCGGCCTCCCAAAGTGCTGGGATTTCAGGCTTGAGCCACCCCGCCCGGCCACTTCTGGCTAATTTTTAACATTTTTTTGTGGAGATGAGGTTTCACTATGCTGCCCCAGCTGGTCCCAAACTCCTGGGCTCAAGCAATCTTCCCGCCTCAGCCTCCCAAAGTGCTGGGATTGCAGGTGTGAGCCACCGTGTCCAGCCATACAAGCTCTTGAAGAAGAGATAAGGCCTTTGGTTATAGGTTAACAAGAACCATATGTGGGGTTATCAGTGTCCCAGAGCCCAGGGGTTCAATTGCTTTTTATTGGTGTGATTCTAGGGTGCTGAAGAAGCTGGGCGTCCTCTATCTAGGGCATCAGACTTGATTTGCCGTGGTTTCGCTGAAATTTGATCAGACACGGCTCCGCCTTCAATGTGGCTCCTTGAGCTTAGCGATGCATTTAATTCAGAAAGCACAAAGACCCCAGACCAAGCACCGTCTTGATTCACAGCTGTCCAGGGGCACATGGCTGGCACAGAAACAGAGGTTAACTTGGCACCTAGTCATTGCTGGGCCCCATCACTGCAGACCAACAGCAGAGGGTAAGAGCACCTCTTCCTCTGGGGAGCCCGCCTAGGTCACTGGGGCCAAGGTGCTCTTTCTTTCCTCTGAACTCAAATCACAGCATATCAATACCATATTGTCGGTCCTCTTATTCGACATTGATTTACTCTTTGCCTGTTTCTCTGACTGGACTACAAGGTCTTTTTTTTTCTTTCTTTCTTTCCTTTTTTTGAGTTGGGAGTCTCACTCTGTCTCCCTGGCTAGAGTGCAGTGGCGCTATCCTCCCGCCACCCGCTGTCCCCCACCGTTCCTGCCTGCGGGAGACCCAGCCCTAACCCACGGCTGGCGTAGACCCCCGATGAGCTGCAGGGCTTGGCTGGAGCCCCCCTCCCCAGCACACTCACATCCAGGTAGTTTCTCCTGGGTTCCAGAGCCACCGCCTGGTCCTGGTACTCGTCCAGAAACTTGTAGGCCAGGCTGTATGGATACTTTTCCAGATAACTTCTCAGCATGTCATGTTCCCAGAGGTTTTCTCGGATGGACTTGATCTTCACCAGAGGGATTCTTTGGCAACACCAGGGGGAAAACAAGAGCCCGTCATCGGCTGCCCCTCACGATGGCATGACTTCACACCTCACACTGCCATTGCACTGTGTATTTTCTTTTCTTTTTTTTTCTGGATCGGAACCTCACTCCGTCGCCCAGGCTGGAGTGCAGTGGCATGCTCACGGCCACTGCAACCTCGACCTGCCGGGCTCAGGCGATCCTTCCGCCTCAGCCTTCCAAGTAATTGGAAATACACGTGTGCGTCACCACGCCCCGCTAATTTTTTGATTTATTGTAGAGACAGTTCTCGCCATGTTGCTCAGGTTGGTCTCGAACCCTTGAGCTCAGGCAATCCTCTCACTTCGGTCTCCCAAAGTGCTGGGATTACAGGCTTGAGCTACCAGGCCCAGCTAGAATCCAGCTTTTTTTTTCTTCTGAATCGGAGTCTCATTCTGTCTCCCAGGCTGGAGTGCAGTGGCAGCCTCAACCTGCTGGGCTCAGGCGATCCTTCTGCCTCAGCCTTCCAAGTAGCTGGAACTACAGGCAGGTACCACCACACCAGCCTAATTTTTTGATTTACTGTAGAGACAAAGTCTCACCAAGTTGCCTGGGCTAGTCTCGAATCCGCGAACTCAGGCAATCCACTTGCCTCTCCTTCCCAAAGTGCTGGGATTTCAGGTATGAGCCACCATGCCCAGCCGCCAAGCATTTTCGTGAGGATGCTCTCAGTATCAGGAAATACCGTGGCCATGGATCTAGGCTTGAATCTATGTTCTGTTGTGTAATCTTGGGCAAGGCGGATGACCTTTCTGAGCCTCAATTTCCCATCTGTAGAAAAGTGGAATGAGGCTGGGCGCAGTGGCTCACGCCTGCCCTCCCAGCACTTTGGGAGGGTGAAGCGGAAGGATGGCTTGAGGTCAGGAATTCGAGAACATCCTGGGCAACAAAGCAAGACCTCATCTCTACAAAATAATAATAATAATAACATCAATAATAATAATAAATAAAAGCCGGGTTCGGTGGCTCAGCCTGTAATCCCAGCGCTTTGGGAGGCTGAGGTGAGTGAATTGCCTGAGCCTGCAGGTTTGAGATCCACCTGGGCAACTTGGCGAGACCTCACCTCTGCCATAAAATCAAAAAAATCAACTGGGCGTGGTAGCACGTGCCTGTAATTCCGGCTACTCGGAAGGCTGAGGTGGAAGGATTGCCGGAGCACAGCAGGTCGAGGCTGCGGTGGCCGTGAGTGGCCACTGCACTCCAGTCTGGGCGACGGAGTGAGACTCCAACTCAAAAAAAAAAAATAATAATAATAATAAATAAAAATAAGTAAAAATAAAACAAATTAGCTGGGCATGGTGATGTGTCTATAATCTCAACTACCTCGGGAGGCTGAGGCAGAAGGATTGCCTGAGCCAAGGTCGAGGTTGCAGTGGCTGTGATTGTGCCACTGCACTCCAGCCTGGGCAACAGAGTGAGGCCCAACTCAAAAAAAAAATAAGAAAAAAAAAGTAAGAAAGAAACACAAAGAGTTCTGCCTACACAGATCCCTAAAGAGATGGAGAGATAAAGAAGAGACACATGGAGGGAGACACAGTCACAGACATACATAAACGAGAAAACAGAGGGAGCAGAGAGAAGACCTAGAAAATCATGCAGCAGAAATTGTTTTTAGATGGGAACACACGTACAGCTGCACAGGCTGCACACTGAACAATTCTGAAGAGTGCTACTCACACTGCCCATGATGTGACTGGTGATCCTGGACTTGTGCAACACTGCAGGTCTGCCTAAGACCCCTGGGCTCCATAGCGCACGTGGAAAGCTACTCATCAATCCATGGAGACTTGAACTTCATGAGAGTCAGAGAATGAGTACATTTCCTTACCCACCCCACACTGAAAAGAAAACAGGAGGGCGGGAGAATAGGAAGGTAAGAAAGAACCTGGAAAGAGAGCCGATGCTATTTGTTCCCTATTTGCTTGACCAAGCACTCCGAGAGGGCCGCCAGCCCGAGAACCACAAGCCACTTCATGCTTCCTTCCTGGGTTCAAGGCACTCAGAAAAGAGCGAATTCTGGGCATGCAGTGGTTGTCAAAAATTGCTCATTAAATGCACTCTGGTCAGCCCTAATCATCCTCTCGAGGGCTACTATTGACTCCATAAGAAATACAAGCCTCCTTGATAAGATCTTTACCCTCTCCGTGTCTGTAATGAGGGGACCTAGAAAACTCTCAGAATACAGAGATTTGCACTGCCATTTCTCCCTTGTGGCTTGGCTGAAAAAACAAAACCACTTGGACTAACACAAAGTGGGGAGACCCTTGCTATCTTGGAGATAAAGGCACCGAGAAACATGCGATAAAAACAAGTGCCAAGTGCCATTGGTGATCTCATGCAGTCTTCCTGGTGACCCTGTGAGGTGTGTGCTGCTGTCCTCATCGGAGAGGAGATTGTTAGGAGGAAGAGAGGTCAAATCACAGAGTGGGGCCAGGAGGCTCACACCTGTAGTCCCAGCACTCTGGGAGGCTGAGTTGGAAGGATCGTTTGAGCCCAGGGGTTTGAGACCAGCCTGGGCAACATAGTGAGAACTTGTCGCTACAGAAAATTAAAAAATTAGCCAGACGTGGTCCCAGCTACTTGGGAGGCTGAAGCAGAAGGATTGTCTGAGTCCAGGAGGTCAAGGCTGTGGTGAGCTGTGATCATGACACCGCATTCCAGCCTGGGTGACAGAGTGAGACCCTGCCAAAACAAACAAGCAAGACCTCGTCTCTACAACAAAAAAGGCCCAGCAGGTCTTGCCTTCAGAGAGCTTGTGGTCTGGGGCAGGGACCACAAACCCAAGACCCAGATGGCCAAGGGAATGAATGAATGAAGGAACTGGGTGGATGTCTGGGGCATGGCAGCACTGTCCCACCACCAGGGGAAGACTTTTCTTGGCTTTACTAGTGGCTGTCGTGCCTGCAGGCGGGCCTTGAGGCCGGACTGGCCATGTTTTCAAGATAAGCGTAAGTGGAAAGACTTGAGTTTTTTATATTCTCACACCAGATGCATGGACATTTTCTCCCCACCAGCAAGTTAGCCATCGACTCGGCAGTGGATGCCAGTAGGGTGTCCTCTAACTAGGCTCTGATGCTGCCAGGAGACAGTGTCAGATCCCACAGGCTTGGGGTTCAGTCCCACAAAGACCGCTCCCCACTGCAGAAGCCAATGGCAAAGCCAGTGCATTGACCTGCACTTCTGACCAGCCCGCTCTTACCCGGGGATTCCGTGCTACCTTCTTGGGTTCAATTAATTTGCTAGCACATCTCACAGAGCTCAAGGCAACATTTACGTCTGCTGGTTTAATATAAAGGATATTACAAGGCTGGGCATGGTGGCTCAGACCTGTAACCCCAGTATTTTGGGAGGCCAAGGCGAGAGGATTACTTGAGCCCAGGAGTTCGAGACCAACCTGGGCAACATAGCAAGACCTCTGGCCCTACAAAAATCAAAAAAGTAACTGGGCGTAGTAGTGCGCACCTGTATTCCCAGCTACTCCAGAGGCTGTGGCAGGAGGATCTCCTGAACCCAGGAGGTCAAGGCTGCAGTGAGCTGTGATTGTGCCACTGCACTCCAGCCTGGGTGACAGAGTGAGACCCCCCACCAAAAGATCTTACAAAGGATACAGACAAAGAGGTGCATGTGCGAGGTATGGAGAAAGGGGCAATGTCCCCCCAGGTGGCCGTCCTCCAGAACTTGCATGTGTTCGGCTATCCTGGGAGCTCTCAAACCCAGTCCTCTTGGGCGTCTTGTGAAACTCCATCCAGTAGGCATGATTAAAGAATGAATGGTCATGTTGAAATGGGATTAGACAAGAAGGTCATGTCCCAAGGCTGAAAGGCTCATGAGGGAGGCCCAGCAAGGCCTGTCTGTTCAGATTCTTTTTGGCCTCTCCGTGCAGACTCCTTCCTCCAGGGGATGATGCAGAACCCCTTCTGGAATGGAGGTCTTGTGACCTGCAATCAGACAAGATGGATTGGAGAACTTCTTTATGGCCAGAGACAGGAACAGATTTGACTGCATTATTAGTTGTCAAGATCTCCCTTGGGGGGAAAAAGGGCAGGGGAGAAGAGGTCAGGGGATGGTCAGGGAGAGAGATTCTGTCTTCTGAGGCCTGCTCTGAGACCTGAAACACCCCAATGCGATAACAAAAGACTGTAACAAGGGCGGTGGGAATTGTAGGCCAGGAACTGAGGATGAGCACCGAGGGATATACATCCTAGTATCATAAGAAGTTGCAAGTCTGGATACTGTGGTGAAATCTCTGATCTTTAAAAAGTAGCAGCTGGCCAGGTGTGGTGGTTCACGCCTATAATCCCAGCACTTTGGGAGGCTGAGGTGAGAGGACTGCTGAGCCCGCGGGTTCCAGACCAGCCTGGGAAACTTGGCGAGACCTTGTCACTACAAAAAAATTAAAAAATTAGCCTGGCGTGGTGCTGCGTGACTGGTGTTCCCGCTACTTGGAAGACTGAGGCGGAAGGATCGCCTGAGCCCAGCAGGTCGGAGCTGCGGTGGCCAAGAGCGTGCCACTGCCCTCCAGCCTGGGTGACAGAGTGAGACTCTCACTCAAAAAAAAAAAAAAGAAAAACGGTAGCATCTGGCCTGGTGCAGTGACTCATCACGCCTGTAATCCCAGATCTTTGGGAAGCCGAAACGGGGGGATTGCTTGAGCCCAGGAGTTTGAGGCAACATAGCGAGACCTCGTCTCTATAAAAAAATTAAAAAATTACTTGGGCATGGTGGCGCGTGCCTGTAGTCCCAGCTACTCAGGATTCCGAGGCAGGAGGATCGCCTGAGCCTAGGAAGTCAAGGCTGTGGTGAGCCGTGATCGTGCCACTCCAACCTGGGCGACAGGGTGAGACCTCAACTCAAATATGTGTGTGTGTGCGTGTGTGCGTGTGTGTGTGTGTGTGTGTGTGTGTGTGTGTGTGTATACACACATATATATACGTATATATATATGGAACTACCTATGAAGTATTCATAAAAAAACTTGAGCTCAAGTCTAGATCTAACTTCCAGTTTTCAGGGAACATATAAAGAAAGGACGAGGAATCAATCATCCAAACCCAATGTGTGGGACACCCTACAGGACAAATGTACCCTTCCATGCCTGACTTTAAAGAAACGGACGTTCTATTTCAGAGCTGTGTGAGTTTCCCGGCAGCTTTGAGCAGAGGTGCAGGGAATCCCCGTCCCCCCCGTCCCCACCCCCACAGGCCTGGTCCCCGAATCTTCTGCCTCAGCCTCCCGAGTAGCTGGGACCACAGGTGTGCACCATCAAGCTCAGCTGGTTTGTACTTTTGTAGAGATGGGGATCTTGTTATGTTGCCCAGGCTGGTCTCTAACTCCTGGGCTCAAGGGATCCTCCTGCCTTGGCCTCCCAAATTGCTGGGATAACAGGCTCAAGCCACCATGCCCGGCCAGAAGGCATTTTTGAGAGAATCAAGGACATTTGAACATGGACTGGATATTAGGTGATATTAACGTTGGTAATTTTGTTTAACATAAAAGAGTATTGTGGATATATATACATGTGTGTGGGTATATATATAAATTTTTTTTTAAAGAAGATCTTCATATCCTGCAGATGTACAATGTTTTCAGAGAAATGACAAAATGCCTGCCTTAAAATATTTCAGTAAAAATAAATATATGAGAATAAACATTTAAAAAATGAGAATGTAAATGAAAGACTTGCATCCTGCTGCCCTTTTTTGAGTTGGAGTCTCACTCTGTCACTCAGGCTGGAGTCTCACTCTGTCGCTCAGCCTGTTGGGCTCAGGCAATCCTTCTGCCTCAGCCTTCTAAGTAGCTGGGACTACAGGCGTGAGCCACCATACCCAGCTAATTTTTGTATTTATTGTAGAGATGAGGTCTCGCCAAGTTGTTCAGGCTGGTCTCAAACCCCCGGGCTTAGGCAGTTCTCTCACTTTGGACTCCCAAAGTGCTGGAATTACAGGCATGAGCCACTGCACCCAAACTGGGGCACTTCTTGATGCCAGGATATGGGGCATGGGATCCCTTGCAAGACTCGCTTTTATTTTTCTGTCTAAGCAATTTTTTGTAATAAGCTGAGACATTTCCATCTGGGGTCTTGTCTTTAGGGGTATCCTGAGGGCCTTAAGCAAGACGGCGCTCTGGCCAAGTCAAGCCCGATTCTCAGCGGCCCACGGGCTGGGCTCTCTCCCTACTAACCCCCTCCCGCCCCCCGCCCCCCCGCTGTCCCTCGGGGCTGGTGATCCACCAGCCTGGAGCCCTGAGGGGGCTGTGTCAGGGTCTGGATGGGGAAGGGATGAGAACGTTTCTAGGCACAACCCATGGGGGATCTCCCTCCTCAGCCTCCTCTTGAATGTCAGCCGCAGGGCAGGGATGGAGGCCTGGGTGGGGGGAGCCCGGGACTGCAGCAGTGGGGGTGTTTTGAAGAGAAGTGGGGAGGGCTTCACAACTATGTAACAGAGAGGGGGCAGCTTGGGCAGGACCCAGGAGAGATGGGGGTAGGACAGAAGCCCTGGGAGTGAATGGAGGGTTCGCAGAGTGGGACACAGTGGCAGAAAGGGGTCTTCTCTGGCAGCAGGATATGTGTGGTGAGCCAAGGGCCCTACTTCATGTATTTATTGTTATTTATTTATTTGGCTCAAAGTCTCACTCTGTCGCCCAGGCTGGAGTGCAATGGCACGATCACAGCCCACTGTAGACTCAACCTTCTGGGCTCCGGCGATCCTTCCGCCTCAGCCTTCCAAGTAGCTGGAACTACAGGCGTGCAACACCACGCCCGGCTAGTTTTTTTGATTTTTTGTAGAGATGAGGTCTGGCCAAGTTGCCCAGGCTGACCTCGAGCCCCTGGGTTCAGGCAGTCCTCTTGCCTGGGCCTCCCAAAGTGCTGGGATGACAGGCGTGAGCTACCGTGTCCGGCCCAAGTGCCCAATTTAAACAGAGAACACACCGGGCCTGGGGGTTCATGCCTGTCATCCCAGCACCATGGGAGGTGGA